TTATGATGCCGATACGGAGCCGCGGAGAACTTAAAACGGGTTACCGGGGCTCCGGCTCGAAGTGCAGGAGTAGGAACGGGGTGGTTTTTAGTCAGTAAGAGTCTGACGCTCCCTCCCGCCTCAGCCAGGTGGGAGAAGTCATTTGACGATAAAAAAAACACTCACAATTTCATTGAAAGTTCATTAGAATCTATCGCTTTTGACATTGAACTGTAAAAGCTCCATGAAACTGTAAGAAATGAATAAAGTCAAAGTCAAAGCATTTATTTCAATTATATCATAATTTGGTACTTTTGAAACGTCAACAAATACAAAATAAATAATATTCTGTCTGTCAGTCCGTCAGTATAGCTAGGTGAAGCTAGGTGCTCATTCCAAAATGTAGATTCGAATGGAGAGGAACGAGCAAGAAACTCCATTCGTTACTCTTTTGAAAAAAGTATGTTCTACAATGTCTCTGATACATATATTATAGAGGTATAAAATAAAAAAAAATCAAAATCTTAAACAATCCATAAAAATAGTGATTCTATACAAGAAAAAGGAAACTCTTTGTTTCAATAAAGAAATAGTAGAACAAGTTACAATATTATATTTGTAACAACTTAGTGGTTAAATAAAATCTTAAATCACCTTTACGGGGAAAACCTTATTAAATATCATTACTCACTTCAGGGGCAAAACGGATGCAATGTTTTATGTCTTTTAAACCAATCAAATAATACAATGGAAACTTTAATTTAAATTGATTATGTGGCCACAGAACTTGGAATGCTTAATGGCCTTTTTATAGTGCTCACTTTTTCTGAGAAAAATGAATCAGAGATCATGTAGATACAATTTTTCCTGATATTTGTAATTGGTGACAAACCTTTTCTGCATTTAAATGAAAGTAGTTCTCAGTACCGACAATTAAGTTCAAAATTCTTTGAAATGGAATGGAATGAAATATTTTTTTATAAAAGCTCCGACAAGAAAAGAAGAATTGTCCTTACTGAAAATATTAAATCTACTGCCTAAAATACTAACTTTCCGACTACTTTACACGACTGTTTATTGCTACAATACTAACCTAACCTAAAACATCTGTCGTCTTTTGTCGGAGGTTCAATATTTTATTTGCAAGGTTAGTTTTATTATTCGAAGATACATTTTTATAGTCGGCCACAGATCGCTGGAGATTAATTTTGGAACCATTATTATATTCATTTTAAATTTAAATGGGCATTTCTTAACTGAATAACATCAAAACAAAGTCAGAGATCACATTCCCTTGAAAATAAACAAAGTCATTGATCACAGTCTCTCAAAATAATAAAAGAAAAATACAATCGTTGATCCAGTAATACAACAGATTTCATGATTCCATTCCATCTATCTCTTACCGAAATCTCATAAAAACCGATCTATGAGTTTAAGAGTAAAAACAAATGAACAACAATTGGGCTCTCACTTAACCGCACAAGTATCGAACCGGTTCCTTAGCAAAGTCGAAAATAATCAAATAAGCATAAATTAATAGGTCTTTACATTGTAGACCTACTTATGAAAGGCCTTAAACTTAAAATTAACATATTGCTTACATTATTTCAATTGGCAATGAACTGCATTCACCACAACATAGGTTAAGCTACGCTTGTCAAGGTTGGTGCGTGGACGGGTGATCCATCATTAACTATATCACAAGATTAAATGTAAAAAATCGTGTAGGAATGCCATGCTTCGGCACTAGAAGGCCGTTTCTTAGGAAACCGGCGTGACTTAATATCCTGTGTCCCCTAAATGGGGCAGAGGGCGTCCACTGAAGTTCTCCATCGCGATCTGTCTTGAGCTTTACGCTTCATCTTACTCCACGTTATACCGATGCTCGACGCTTCTGCCAGTACGGTGCGACGCCAGGTTTGCCGAGGACGACCACGCTTTCTTTTCCCTTGGAAATTCCAGTCCAAGTCTTGCTTGGTATGTGAAGAAACCGGCGTAAAACAATCAAAACACCACGTTTCGCCATATTACTGAAATTACCAGAGCCCATCCCTATCACATCCCATGGGTTTAGGTGATTGAAAAATTATAATCAGAAATTATTAGCCCAGGTTTCCGATTGTTCGTCAAGGGCGTCAAGTCTTAGAAAATACATAAATAACAGCAAAAGTCCTATTGGTACTTTCCGTTGGTAGATTCCGAACACGCACTCAAACCTTCGAGCTACCACGATCTTACCCCATATTTAATAGGTTCCAATTCTCCCACCAAAAGCCGGCCCCTAACGCACTTGTAACCCCTGGTGTTGGGGGATTTCATAGACGATGCTCTTTGTTTGACTGACACAGGTGTCCAATAAAAAGAAGCAATTTGAAGTCGGTTAAATATTTCAAACTTATTGACATGCAAACAAACAAACAATATATTAATACTATTAACACGATAACACAGATATCGCTTTATCTTGTATTTAATATTCAATGCATTTAAAATAAATAAATATTTAAACTAGCTACTTCCGCGCGGTTTCACACGCTCTGCTCAGTTCCTATTGGTGTAGCGTGATGTTTAATAGCCTATACCATCCTCGATAAATGCGCTATCCAACACAAAAAGAATTATTCAAATCAGACTTGTAGTTACGGAGATTAGCGCGTTCCAAACAAACAAAAAAACAAACTCTTCCGTTTATATAGTAGTATAAGATAAGAAAACGGGATCAAAATAAAGTTTAATATTTGAAATCGCTGATTCGAATCGAAGAGCATCGGGTACCTACGTTGTTTCGTTGTTAAAGCATTGTTGAGATCCTTCTTTAAATTTCCTTGTGCGAACCGCTAAGGAATGGAATTCCTTGCCTGAATCTGTGTTTCCCAACACTTTTTTTTCTAAGTTTAAATTAACATTTCGCTTATAAAGTTGCGTGGCCAGTAAGAAATTGGGCAACACAGTATCCACCTCCAACCAAATCCTCTCCAGCCGCTCATGCACGATTGGGAAAAACTGATATGGGTGGCAGCCCTTAAAAGAAGATATTTCCCGACATAAATAACTTGAGTGTCTTCAAGTCCCGAGTGAACAGATTGCTCGTAGGTAGACGTACTCCATTGTCGGCCACATCATCGCTTACCACCAGCGAGATGGTGGTCAAACGTCAACCTATCAAGTATCAAGAAACCGCCTTTTTTGAGGGGTGAAAATCACCTAATGATTTCTCCCGTATGCGGTGAAGCGAGAAAGAATATCGGATTCTTAATGACTAAAAACCGCCCCATTCCAACTCCTGCTTTGATCCGTAGCCCCGGTAACCCGTAAAGTTGTCGTCAACTCCGAGATGAGCATAAAGGCTGGAATTGTACCCGGTGCTACTACTGACAATTTTTAAAAACCCAGTAATACTTTGCCATACCCGGGAATCGAACCCAAAACCCCTTGCTCGGCAGTCGCACTTGCGACCACTCGGCCAATGAGTCAGTCGTTCATAATAAATAAATATAAATATGTAAAAGCAAAGAAACCAGATCAGAAATACAAAACTGACATAAAAATCTCAAATTATGTCATATAATACATATGTATGAAATAACGAAGCATGAAAGAACATAATCTACATCTATACTAATACTAAAAAGAAAACATATTTGTTTGTCTGTTTGCATTGAATATACTCCGAAACTACTGGACCGGTTTGGAAATTCTTTCACAATTAGAAACCTTACTCAGGGAGTTATTCAGGGAGTATACATAGGCTACTTATTATCTTAACTGATCTACAGGATTAGGACTGAGTCCAAAGAAATCTTCTTTATTTTAAGCAGGTAAAACCGTAGGTAGAAAGCTAGCTATATCATGTTTGACCTTATCTATTTTAAACAGTTTCGTTGTGAATTTGGCGAGGCGATGTAGTGGTTTCATAAATAAAAGGTAGTCGGAACGATCTTTAATATTTTTGAGTATGATATTATTTGAAAAAATGTGCATCTGTGTAAGATTGGTAATAATAATGTGGATATTTGTGAACATACATGTGTGAATGTTGTTTACTTATTTAATATTTTAATGGATTTCTCGATAATATAGTTTCGTACAGGACGATGGCGATTCGGGCCGCTAATGAATAAGTTGGGTTTTAATTAAAATATCTTGTTGTTTATGACGATAGATAAGAAAGTGTGACCCAGAAATAAAAATGAGAGTATTTTTGATTAATTTGCGAGATATTTCTTTGTATAAATATGTATTAATAACTTTAGACAGGAAACATACAAAAGTAAAAAGATGAATCCCTAACATCTAAATTAAAAACTGTAAAAAACAAAAGAAGTAACACAAAATCTCTATTGTTTCAGACAAAATGCGGCTCGCAATACATATGAAGGCTGCAGCAATACTCCTCATATTTCACATCACAGCAACAAGAACAGCTAAAAACAATGCTCCATCGTCCACGAATCATCAACGAACAAGCCAGGATAGATGACAAAAGGCCACTATACGGGAACCCACTAGCAGGTAACTCTCAACAAAATGCCAAACTACATGCTCAACATCAACAAGCAATGTTCAATGCGGAAAGAGTGAGACAGCATAGAGCTCAAATACAAAGATGGAATGCACAACCACAACAGGAGACAGCTACATGAGAGCTTATCACGAATCTCAAGAAAACCATCAATTAGCCTTAGAACAGATGCAAGCCACGCAAAGAGAGAAAAAACCTAAGCAAAGACAGGAAAGACACATCTAAGAAATAGACCGTCACTAGACCCAGTGAAGTTAACCAGAGCTGATGCCGTAGATAAAAATAGAAATCACAGATCTTACGGCTCAGTTTACTATAATAACATACAACCGAAACACAAAATAAATACTTCACCAGGAACTACATACGATCAAGGAGTTACTATCAAACCTAATGGCAATATAGGACTGAATAATCTGGAAAAAGAACAGACAGGTCTATACACAGAAGTGTCACCAAGTAAAACTCAGTACGTTTACCCGAAATTGTACCATCAATGCATTCATATCAATCTGCTGATGACATAAGCGCTTTGAACAATCTCCTCGCTAAACCACCACAGGAACAAGTATCAGAACTAAATACTTTAACTCATGTGAACCAAGAATATGGTAAAGAAAATCTTGAAACGCCTATTGATTTATACTTTTACCTAAATAACCCTAATGGACTAAATACAGGTAATGAAAACAAAATTAAATATAATGTTGATAACGGATATGCAGGACCTTACGCAACCGAATATGTAAACTATAGTGATCATAAGCCAATCACAGAAGAAGTCGATGATATAGAAGAAGATAAAGTTCCTAATTTAAAACTACAACCTATTGCTCAAACACCAACAGTCATGCCACATGTGTTTGAAGATCCAACGACAACAAAAAGTAATTATTACAAAATAGAAGTGGAACAAACTGTTAGTGGAAATTTGCATGGAAAAGGGCTTGAATTTCCCGTCCAACACAAGCCTAGTTATCCTGCAGTGAAGTATGAGAAACCTTTGAACATTTACCACCAGGAAACCAATACGGAGGTATCAAATATCTTCAAGCACAGCAGTCCGGAGTTCACATTTGTCTCAAGATGGAACTGGGGTATCAGCATACGGTGCCGATGATGTAAGTATAAAAAAACGCGTCAAACGCCAAATCTTAGACACTTCATTATTTATTTTAGGTAACGAAACTGTAATTCAGAATGGTAATAACTCAAAAGTTAATGTTTCTGAAGTATCACTCAATAATACAGTTTAAAGGTAATGTAAGTATTTCGGATGATAATATAGCTTCAGGTAGTGATAAAAATGAAACGTTACCAAGTCCTGAGGAGTGGAAACGTTATAGGGCATTCAATAATTTTGATTCAAGCTTCCAATTTGCTGGGGAAGCGAAAGATTACGATTATTACGAGGACGAAAACAAAGATTATGCTTATGATAGTGATTACGACCCAGATTATGAATTCAATCCCCCAGACCTGGATTACCCAGCACCAAACAGCTTTAAACGACCAGTTTCTTTCACCAGACCACCAAGGCAAAGAAATTTTGCAAATCACAATTTAGATTCACAAAACAGCTTTTCCAATCGCTTCTCCAGTTTCAAACATCCAAATTACAATGATTTTCATTCAGACCCTAATGACGAGTACGGCCCTCCTGATAGTTATGGTCCACCAGGTTATCAGCATTACGGGCCTCCCAAATCTCAATTTCGGCCACATAAACCCCAATATCCTGAGGTCTCAAGCTTAATAGATTCTTTAGAACCGGTCTATATGTTGACAGAATCTCAACTAAAAGATATTGTGAACCAAAGGCATGTAAATGTCCAGCATTTGGACGTTTTTCAGTATCCATCTTTGACTAAACCGAAGCATAGGTATCCTAGGCGAAATAAGAAGCACAGACCAAATAGGCGGCCGAATAAATTAGGCAAGTTTCGCAAGTTACATAAGTTAGTTCAATATTAAGAATAGGAATCAAAGATGGGTCCACGAAGGCAAATGCAATCGGGACTGTGAACCACTACCAAGGCTCCGGCTCAAAGTAGGTGTTGGAAAGGGGTGGTTTTTAGTCATTAAGAGTCTGACACTTCCTCTCGCTTAGAGCACCCTAAAAGAAAACTGTCACGTAGAAAGAATAGCAACCCGGCCTTGATTTTGCAGTAATCTCGAATAGTATTCCCAAATATTTACAGTGAATTTTATTGGATATAAAACATTGTCCAGATCATAAAAATTATGGCAAGGTATTAATTTAACCAATTTGATGCAATCATTCTACATTGAATAAATACAATTAAATATGAAAGGCAATGAGTATTAGGACAAGAGAATGAAGCAGAAGGACTATGAAAAGGAGACTAGTACCTACTTATAAGCATAAAACCGATTCCTTTCATTCGTACAAAAGAAATATTTGTTACCAAAAATACTAAAAGATGCTACCTACCAGTAATAGTATTAAGTTATTTAAGTTAGTGGCTATTGTGTTCAAAGTTGTTATTAAGTAAATTATTTAATTGTTATGTTTTAAATAAATTATACCAATTTATTTTAGAGTTGTTATTTATTTACTATTTATGTAGCATGCGTAGAAATAATGACTCATGGGGGAAAAATGTTATAAAATTAAAACCACACAGCAAGTGCAGTGGACATCTACGTGGTGAATAGATGATCTAACAAAGGTCGAAAGGAGCCGTTGGATGTAGGTCACTTCCAAACTACTGATCTGATAGTCAGTGGAGAAGGCCTATGTTCTGCAGTGGACGTCCTGAGGCTAATAATAGTGATGATGATGAGTTTCTAGTTCTTCTATACTCTAACTAGCTTCTGTCCGCAATAGCATTTTCTCCCGTTCCTGTAGGATTTTCAGTACTTTTTCTGTCGTAAGAATCTTCTCCTGACAATAACAAACACAACAAAAAAAAGATCAGCCAAATCTATCTAGCCGTTCTCAAGTTAAGGCGTGACAACGGGAAACGGATTTCATTTTTATTTATATAGATAAAATCTACTCCCTATGCAGTCAAGGGTTAAAAAGTAGTTTAAAAATATAGTACAGATAAATATAATCTTCTCAATTGTATCAACACTAACTAGTTCCTAATAGATACCTAATTATCTACTAGATAACATAAACCAAATGATTTTTTCTTCTTGAATGGCAACCAAGTCTCCAACTCAACTTTGTCAATGAATTTGTCGAGTCACCATCCAATTTCTATTTCATTATCTCATACACACGTCAATTGTGAAATTGACAAAATCAAACAATTGACGGTTAATTTATTCCAGAATGTGACAAAAAATTTGTCTCGTCATTGAAATGATATAACGAATTATGTCATAGTCGTTCGATATAAGGATTTTTTTGTATAAAATGTTTGCGATCGATAATGGACATTTTCGAGTAAATGAAAGCGCGGTTTCTCGTTTTTAAGATCTTTATAATATAGATAAGACAGAATTTGTTATGTAATTGGAGTAGTTTTATTTGTGTGCACGATTATATCTCATTTTACCTACTTCTGCCATTGCTGCATGTCTCTCTCATAGATTATAACATCCTGAATCTAAAGCCGTAAATTGTTGACATTTCTAAATTGGTAAACCTATATTATTTCCATTGGAATACTGTGTGAGCTTTTTGCTATTTTGGGACTTTATGTGATCCCCTGCTACGTAAGAGAAGCACTGATTGCCGAGAATGATTAAATGAATGTAGAAAACACAAACTATAAACAGACTAACAGCGAAAGACTAACAGCCAACCGTCTACAAAGCTCACTACATTACTGTGTTAATCAATAAACGCATAATAAGGACTAGACTTTTGATAACTGGTGAAATGTTTATATTCTACAAACGCACTATAGAGGCATGATTGCCCTCGCCTCACCCAAGGCGTGCGAAGACATATAAAAATTGCCCCCTTCAAAAAAAATGGCGTGATTGCATAAGGTAACTTACTTTTCATCATAAACAACCCATGAGAGTCCCCTGATGGAATACATTCCAGCATTTATAGGTCATGTAGGTCATTTTAAATAATTCCTACGTGAATCTGGAATTAAGGGATGAATTCCTAAGTTTAAGTATAAGAGAACACTGCCTACTGCCGGCTACTGTCAGGTCTTTAACAAATAAATGTGTAGTCCCCTTGTTGGCTCTTACAAGTCACAACTGGAATAGGAGTGGTTAATACAAGACTACACTTACTTTTTCGAGCGTACGGCGCGTTGCGTTCCGCGCTCAAAGAGCCATCGGACCACCAAGAAGGTCCAAAAGGGCCGATGCCGATTCGGAGTCGCGGAGAACCTAACGGGTTACCGGGGCTCGAAGCGCAGGAGAAGGAACGGGGTGGTTTTTAGTCAGTAAGAGTCTGACACTCCCTCCCGCCTCAGCCAGGCGGGAGCAGTCATTCGATGATTTTCCCCCCTAAAAAAAATACTTACTTTTTCCACTTTTTTGTGAATCTTAGTTAAATGCTGTATTCTGCCTAAAGTCGAAACTTGATTGATTGATTCGCCAGTCATATTTGCCGCCTCCATATTCACAAAAAGGTCTACTTATTTATTTAAATCCTATTTTCTTTACAGATCCAGTACGCAGCGAACTACGAATTCGGGTATCGAGTTCGTGATCACGAAACTGGAAATGATTTCGGTCATCAAGAGGCGAAATCTGGAGACAAAACCCATGGTTCCTACCACGTACTCCTACCTGATGGTAGACTGCAGCAGGTCAAGTACTCCGCTGGTCCCGATGGCTTCCACGCTGACATTTCCTATGATCATCTACAAAGCAACGTTTAGTTTATCTTGCGATAAATAAATCTGTGGCTTTATTTTCGCGGGAAATTGGTTAACCACCAGCACATCAAAGTATCCCTATTCTTCAACAGATTTTCAACTTTAGACCTTATTGCATAGAGCTGAAAATGTATTAAAGAATAGTGATAGGTAGATGTGCTGGGTGTAGACAAAGATGGAAGTGTCATGGCTGACCAATCACAAATGTTTATTTGGACAGTTCTAATATCAAACTTTAAAAGTTTATCTTAATGTAGCCTGTATATATAAAAAATTGATGTTTTTTTTTAAATTGATTCAGTACTTTCAGAGGGCAGTGGTGCTTGTTTATTCTCTCTGAAATTATTAAATTATTTTTTATTTATAGTGATACAATCTCATAATTTAAAACTAGTGACAAGTCATGCAATATTATCAATGTAAAAATAGGGTTAAAAGTTGTAAATATTTCAACTAATATTATTTATTAAGTTATTTAATTATAAAACGAACTTTTGTACATAAACAAACTAATAATACTTAGTGTAATTATAAAATAAAACTCGAAACAATCGTAGATGATTTATTTTTCTTAACACATTTATCTTCCAATACATAGGTAAACACACACACAAACAAAAGAAAATTGCACCACAGTTAATGTACGAAACTGGAATCGTTGACACAAAGAAACTTATCACAAAAACTGATATTAAAAACAAAACCTCCTTTAACTCTAGGCTGTATGTTAACGCTCCAACGCCTAATCTAATAATGGCGCCAAAAGAAAACATCTCCCGCCATTTTATACAACATGGCTACTACGGAAATTGTTAGAACAAAAGTTGTAAATGATATAATCCGAGTGAAATTAGAAAGTTGTCATATACGACACCACACGGACAATATTATGAACATTATATAACTAACTATATAAGGAAATATGGACATAGTTATTAAATTATGTATTTAATTTGGATTCATTAAAATGGCTTCCGTTTGTCGCTTCGCACGGATCAAGTTTCTTGTTGCAAATACCGTAAACCATTGTTTTATGGCCAAGACTGACAACACTGTTAATTGGAAAGGTATTTTTGATTGTTTTTCCAAAATATTTCATGAAAAGGTTTCTTCTTAAATATGTAACTTTAAAAGTACTTTCTAAAATACACAGACGCTCAATTCCTGTGATCTTTGAGGGAGAAAAAGAGCACACAATTTGTTGCGGCCAGATACACAAACCTTACTAATATTATAAATCGGAAAGTGAGTTTGTTTGTTTGTTCCGCTTTCACGCTATAACCACTAAACCGATTGCTTTGAATTTTTGCAGACGTAACGTTAGAAGTCCGGATTAAATAATAGGGTACTTTTTATCCCGGAAAGATTTGATATTCCCGAGGGGAAAAAAAGTATTGGTATAGATGGCGCTGTGTGTATTTGTATATGTCACCTAGGCTACTTTTTATCCTTTTGTGACGCGAGGGAAGCCGCGGGTAAAGGCTAGTTATAGATAAGGCTAGCTCTGTGATTGGTTTACAAACATTTCACATCGATCTTGACCTGAGACTTAGTACAATTTCGGAGCTGTGGACAACCTGTAACGGGCACTGGTTAATAGAGCTTCGGCTCATAGTAGAAGTAAGAAAGGGTTGGTTTTTAGTATGCAAGAGTCGGACACTCTCTCTCGCCTAAAATTTTGATGATTTTCCCCCTCAAAAAAAGAATAAGGCTTAGTACAGTTTCAATTAAAGAAAAATCCTAACGAACTCTATTCATTCTATCATTTTACCAGCAATAATATAACATCACGCCTTCTACCCCCGAAGAGGTGGGCAGAGGTGCACATTACGGCACCTAATGCCACTGTACAATGTAACACCCACTTTTCACTATTTGTGTTATGAGTCCCATTTAATAAGGGGTGAGCCAATTACCATATACCGGGCACAATTCCAGACTCCATGCTACTACTGAAAATATTTAAAAACCCTGTAACGCTTTGCCCGTCCCGGGAATCGGACTCGAGACCCCATGCCCGGCAGTCGCACTTGCGACCACTCGGCCTACGAGACAGCAATAATATCAAACGTTATTTAATTACCTAACTATGTAGGTATATTTTGTTCTTTGTCACTATGGGATTAATCACAAGAAATTGGCGTACCGTATGGCGTATGGCGTACTAATCGTCTCTATCTATCCTTATCATCCGTCGTGGAGAACCTAACGGGTTACCGGGGCACCGGCTCGACGTACAGGAGAAGGAACGGGGTGGTTTTTAGTCAGTAAGAGTCTGACACTCCCTCCCGCCTCACCTAGGCGGGAACAGTCATTCGATAATTTTCCCCCCTTAAAAAAAATCCTTATCATCCGGAAATCATAATCACGACTGTACCGACCTACGACATGTTATTTGACTGCTAATCAAGCTTATGTAACATTTTGAAATTAACTTTCTAATTCAAAAAAACATGTCTAGCTAATGGTCTAGCCAAATGCCAAATGACGCTAAACCCTCATTATTGGGATCATTAAAATCCTGTTTTGAGTCATTATAAAGTAGCTAATTATTGTGTATACTTAGATCTTCTGGTTTACGTTATGAGATAGGTGGCAAACGACCAGAAAGATCTCCTTGCTTCTCGAAGTGCAGGAGTAGGAACAGGGTGGTTTTTAGTCAGTGGTGGTAAGCAATTATAGTCGCCAATGAACACTCGCGACACCAGACCAAGTTGCCAGTGTGTTCCCAATACTTGCGTGGCGAAACACAACGCATTGTTTATATGGTCGTGGTATCACACCGGTGGAGCTGACCAATTTATGCCGAGCATGGGTCTTTGGTGATTCTACACTTTGGAACGAGCAAATGGCTTAACTAGAGAACTGTTCGACAGACTGACAGTTTTAATTCCGTTTAACAGTGCCTTCCTAAGGCCTTAATATGAGTTTGTTTACGTTTAAAGTAATCATAACGAGTACGCTTTTGGCGCTCTGATTGGCCGGCGTCAATACACCAACCAATCAGAGCGCGCAACGCGTACTCGTCAACTTGAAATGAATGACTATGCCTTTAACTTTCTGAACTTATAAGGAACAACTAAGAACTAATGAGGATCTAAAACTCCAGATTCTTATTCATAAAATTTTATTTCATAATATGTATGTTTGTTGATTTTAAACAAGCTACAATAACAACATAACATAGCATCACGCCTTTTATCCCCGAAGGGGTAGGCAGAGGTGTACATTACGGCACCTAAGGCCACTGTACTATGTAACACCAACTTTTCACTATTTATGTTGTGAGTCCCATGTAATAGGAGGTGAGCCTATTGCTATATACCGGACACATTTCCAGACTCCGTGTTACTACTGAGTTTTTTTAAACCCAGTAATACTTTGCCCGACCTGGGAATCGAACCCAAGACCCCTTGCCCGGCAGTCGAACTTCGTTCGGCCAACGAGGCAGTCGCTACAATAATTAAACTAAAATTTAATAATAAGTTAGAACACCTTGATATTGTATACCTTATATACCTTGACATAGTGCCTATTAGGCACTATTTATATAAGACGTGATATTTAATTACACATTAAGTATCTTATATGACATAACGTTTCCAATTACAACGCAAGGACAATAAAAAATCTAATTTAGTTCAACAAAAAATACAATGGACGGATATATTATTAAAACCACCTCTACGCTACGTACTTAAGTACTTATATAATATACTAAAGTTACATAAATACAAGATCTGATTAGCTAGGACAATAGGCAACCTTGATGGTCTAGGTAGCACTTCAAGATATAATGAGGAAGGGGTCAAGACCACCAAACACGGGCCTTTTGGCAGTCCTTGTAAATATAATTTGCCTAAAATATAATTTTACATTCATATTTTATTTATTTATTTATTTAATATGTTTCATGCACAAAATGTACATAAGGTGGACTTTATGCCGCAGGCATTTTCTACCAGTCTGACCTTTGGGTGATACAAAGAGTAGGTAAATGGTAGATAGGTGCAAGAGGCAAGCAATGATTTAATTTACAGAGGTATAGATAAATAAATATAATTATAATAAAATATATACCTCCGGCCTCCGGTATATTGGGCCTCCGGTAGCCTTACTCACACGACGAAACACAACACAACGTTGTTTCACGTCGGTATTCTGTAAGGCCGTGGTATCACTCCGGTCGAGCCAAAGAAAGAAAGAAAAAGAAAGAAAGAAATCATGGCTCTCCAACACTTGTATCGTGGGTTTTCTCCTGTGTCGTGGGTGCGTTTACAAACATACAAGTTTACATACACATGACACTCGACCCACACAGACCCGAAACAATAATTGGTGAACACAAAGTTTTGTTCCGTGTAAAAACCGAACCCGTTACGTAGGGCAGTATTATAGTGAATATGACCGTCGTAGAAGTGGGTCCTTCAGGGTTCCTCCTGGGAGGCCCTGGGCCCGGGCCTCCATTGCCCTTATGGCAAAGATAGTACTGCTTGTGCGAACTGCTAAGAAGTGAAATTATTTACCAAATTCTGTGTTTCCTGCAGGGTATAAATAACCTAGGTGTCTTCAAAGCCCGAGTGAATAGTTTGCTCATGAGCAGATGTGCTCCATTGGGGCTACATCATCGCTTACCACCAGGCGGGATAGTGGTCAAACATCGACCCGTCAAGCATATAGAAAAGTGACGACAGAAAATCGATCAACAGCGTTGTTTTAAAACTTACCCATAAACTGGAATCTCTAAACAACCTGACAAACTTGGAATAGGGATGATGATAGGGTATGAAAATTAAAAATCTAATTAGTCCGTAAGTTAGGTAATGAAAAAATATCAGACAAGTATTTTTTCATTTTGTCGCGATACTTAGATAAAACGAATCAAAGTTTTCCTAAATTTTGTGTCATTTCTACGTATAAAATGTACATAGAAATGACGTCACGCGACATTTCAAATCAATATATCGTCGAAAGTATTCGTTTCTGTAAAAAAATAAAAAATA